TATATATATATATATATATATATAGAGAGAGAGAGAGAGAGAGAGAGAGAGAAAGAGAGGCAGCAAGAAGGTAAGAAGACCAGGAAAGAGAGAAAGAGAGAGAGAGAGAGAGACGGAGGCATCAAGAGGAAGAGGAAGGGGAGACTAATAAAGGGAAAATAATATACCACATATATATAATATATGTTTATATACATATTTATATATACAGAGAGAGAGAGAGGTATCAAGAGGAGAAGGGGGAGAGTAATATAATATTAAATATATACCTTGAATTTTTGTATTTGTGCGATTAGCGATTCGCTTTTATTGTCGTTCAAAAAATTTACGCAGTAAACTGCCAACGCCGGCAATTCGTTCAGCGCAGCTGTCACCTCATCCACTCCCTCTTGGTTTTCATCACGGAAATCCTGTAGATAAATATAAATATAAATATAAATATAAATATAAATATAAACTATAAATTTGTGTATGCGGTGAATGCGGGTGTTGACGACGTCTGCATGGAAATCTGCGAGCGCCCTACAAATGCAGATGTGCTAATATAAACATGTATATATGTATGTGTATGTATATATACTTTATTATACATATATAGACAAACAAATATCCGTCTATTTACATATATGTATGCAGAGGCTGACAAATATAAACATACACAGATGGATATATATATATATATATAAAGCATATATAGGTATTATATATACATATATATATATATACAAGTATATTATATCAATATATATATATATATATATATACAGCTGTAGTAGAAATATTTATTTGTGTTTGTTTCTGCTGACATCGGTCATTTCTTGGAGTACGGTTTTTTGTTCTTTGGCGGTTTGTCTGAGTGCCGCTCTGTCTTCAACGTCTTCTACTTCATCCATTACAGATTCGTAAACTGAGTGTTTCTCTGTTTTAAGAGAAGGAAGAGAAGCAGAATTATTCATATCGGTAGAGGACTCGTGAAGAACACGGTCTACATATAAATCTTCTGTTTGTTCTTGTTTTACCTGATAATCCACAATAAACAACATATATATATATATATACATATAATAGTGCTTATATAAAGACGTATCCATACACATAGATGCATTGCATACACCATACAATATACATGTTTAATAAGCCTATGCATATAATATATATACATTTATATATATATATATATATATATATATATAT